AAAAATAGAATATTTATTAAAATATAATAATCTTAAAAAATCTTAATTTATTAATTTCTGATGTTATTGAAGTTACCTCTGCTATTAAATAAATTATTAAATATTTTGCAAAAGTCTTAGAAAAAATACTCTAAAATTTCCACAATCAAAAACAATACTTAATGATACTATAATGTTTTTAATTTGAATAATCACAAAAAAAAGATTATCAATAAATAATTTTTAACTTTATTTTAAAATATTCTATTTAAAGACCTTAAATTATTATATTGCATTCACATTTATTGAACAGCTTTCAAATGCAAAGAGTAAGTGAAAATTAAAAAATATATTTTTAATTTATAAAATTATATATAGATAATAGGTCTAAGATTGACACTAAAATTATTCCATTATAATCTTTGATCTATGCATTTCAAATAAATAATATCAATCTGAATGCTACTAGTACAAAAATAATTTAAAATCACCAAACATTCTTCAATATAAAAATACACATGGAAAGTAAAGCTAGAAATCAGTTGCATGATAAAATAAGAAATAACATTCTTTAAATAGAACGAAATTAACATAAAAAAGTAATAATTAAAATTAATCAAGTTCTATTATATTTATAATTTTTTTGAATGAAATAATAATTTAATTTAATAGTAAATGGTGTTCAACTATTTTAAAATGCCAATATTAAAAGTATCATATTTTTTTGGTAACTCAAATTTAGAGATTAAATATACATATATATATATATATATATATATATAAACATAAAATCTTTAAATTGTTTTATATTTCAAATTAAGATACTAACATACAAGATTAAGTAAAAATAAATTTAAGCAAATCAATACCTAAAATAAAAATAAAAAATTATAAGATTTTTAGTGCATTTTTAGTACATTTCAGTGCATTTTTCTTTTTACCTCTTATTTTAGACTCTAAAGTGCAGTGGCGGTGTTGTGAAAATCATAAGCTTCATTATAATTTTTTATTGATGTTCCAATAGGTAGAATTATAGTAGAAGTGTTGAGATGCTAGTAGTTTACAACTCCTAAATTTGAAGTTCAATGTTGTTTTGTTTGTTATACTACTCTGCGATAATATGGAGTGGTACTATGTCATCATTGTGGTTTGTCTTTGTGTTGCTGTTGTTTTTTTTATTGTCTTTTTTAGCAGTGTTGTGGTAGATATTTTTTTATAGCTATATATTGTTCATGTTGTGGACTAGCCACGGTGTTGTTTCTTTCTTGGTTCTCTCTTATGGTGGATTTAGATAGTTTTGACTACTCTTTATTATTTGAAGGTGGAGTGCAACTAGGTATTAGTATTGGTAGTATTCCTATCTTATTTTTTTTCTTTTGGTTGGTGGCCAATGGACTTGTTTTTGGTTCTGTATTAGTTTTTCTATTTTGTAGGGATCTTCTACAGAATGCTCTATTTTTCCAATGGTGTTTTGATATTTTAAAGGCAATTTTGTGAAGGCATTGATGTAAGCTATTGTCATTTTGACTTATTAGATGTAGTCTTGTATCAATACATGTAAAGAAGCATTTAATGGAAAGAAGATGACTCAAAGTTGATATTACTATGTGGTGAGGACACTACCAATGTTGAAGTCAATTTGAAAAATTATTTGGAAGGAATCTTATATTAGGATTAATTCCACAAGACTTATTTTGGATTTTTAAGGTTGTAAGAGAAGCTGTTGAAGTATTCCGCAGTTGATACTTTTTGATAGAATTTGCATATATGTTCTTCACACATAAACTACCTCTTGAATAGTTCACTTTAATCATAATAGATATCTCATTTATCTTATTAAAGAAGGATTCTTTAAGAGCTTGATCCGGTTTGCATCTTTTTAGGTGGCTATAAAAGAAGCACTTAAATTGATTTAATGCTTATATATGCAATCTAGACTTATTAATGCACGGATTTCAAGTATATTTGATTAAAATTAATTAAATAAAAGAATTTTTTTTAGTTAGGTATTATTTATGTACTGAGCTATAATTGAAATTTTGAAGATCAAAAATATATTTGGATCAATTGAACTTTGTAATAGCCACACAAAAATCAAGTTTAATTGAAGTTTATACATAATTACATTTTGGTATACAAAGAGGCTCTTGACAAAAAGAAAAGACATTGAAAGGTGTGATTTTAATATTAAGTCAAAGAAAACTTGAAGAAAGAATTTATCAATTAAAAGAAGCTTAAGAACAACAAAAGATCTAAACAATTGTTTATCATAAGAAAAAACTTCAATTCTATATTAGCAATAAGATATGGTTGCTTTATTATAATATAAAGATTAGTTGATCTTCTAATAAGTTGGACTATTGTAGACGTAAAGCATTTCTTATTAGTGAAGACATCAATCTAATTGTATATTGATTAGACTTATTAAAATCTATGAAGATTCATCCTCTATTATATGTGTCTCTTCTTGAGTTATACAAGATAGTGAATATTCTAAGAAGAAGAAAATGCCACCTCTTCCTATAAAAATAGATAATAATCAAGAACTTGAGGTTGAAGAGATTTTACATTCAAGGTAGAGCCAAAATAGATTCAAATATTTTGTATATTAGTATGGATATGATGTTAGTGAATATAGATGGAAGCTACTAAGAATCTTGTAAATGCAACAAAGAAGGTCAATATTTTTTTTATTATTAACATCCACCAAAACTAAGGTAAAGAGTCAAAAAAATCTTTGTTATAAAGATAAACAAGTTCAATTAAGATTAAATTCTATCTTCTATTCTTATTTGTATTTTTTTTATATTTGTGGCATTAAAAAAATAAAGAATCAACAACTAACACATTCAATTCAAGAATTATTATTAATTCACTTATTAAGCAAGATATTGCAATTGTGATGGTCTTCAAGGATTATAACAAAAATGAAGATTATCAAGAATAACATGTTTTTTTTCAAATAGATGGTAAGTTACAATAATTTTTATCTCACAACCTTAGAAGATATTTTTGATAATTGGTGATATTATTAGAATTAAGAACCACTCCTAAAGGTATTCTAAATATTTTATTTTATGAAAGTTATGAAGGCCTCAAAAATGATCAAATATCAAGATGATCTTTCGGCCCTTCTTCAAGACAATATTGATGGCTAAGAGGATCTATCAACTATCTTCAAAGAGAATAAATATCAAAATATGAGATAAATAATGTCACATCTTGGACATCTTCAACATGTAATCACCACTCTTTGTGGAATTCATTCCTAAAAATATAGATAATGTCACAAACATACATATTTACTTCAATAATTGCTTAGAGTTTTTATTAAATATATTATTTTACTAATTAAATTAAGAAATTTTAATATCAAGTAATCCAAAAATTACTATTGAATCATATAAAATATGTAATAGAATTAAGACTAAAAATAATATATATTGTTATTAACAAGTTAATCAATAGAAAGTTTTGGTATAATATTACTTATTCAAATTAAAATAATAGATTTATACAAGTTAGTATAATTTGAAAAATACTTGAAAAAATATTCTAAGACCAAAAAAATAAAAAATAATAGTTGATGAGATTACAATGTTTTTATTTTGAATAAGTACAAAAAAAATCAAGAACTAATTTCTAGCTTTATTTTAAAATATGATATATAAAAGATCTTCAATTACTATATTATATTTATATTTATTGAACATCTTTAAAATACAAAGAATAATTTAAAATAAAATATTAATAATTTATCATATTGTATAAAAAAAATTAATATAATAAATTTATTTTTAAATTAATATTTTATAAAGATGATAGGTCTAAGATTGATACTAAAATTATTCTATTATAACCTTTAATCTACGCATTTCAAACAAATAATACTTTAGATCAATCTCAATGCTACTATTACAGGAATAATTTTAAAATCACTGAATATTCTTTAATGTGAAAAACATACATGTAAAATAGAGCTAGAAATTACTTATATGAAAAGAAAAAAAAAACAATATTCTTTAAATAGAGAAAAATCAACATAAAATAGTAACCATTAAAATTAATCAAGTTTTATGTACTTTAAAGTTTTTAAAAACACAATTTAATTAAAGTGGAATTTAACACTTAATCTAGCCTTCAAAATATTAGCAGTAGATTTTATTTTGTATCACATTCTAAAAAAAATATGAAGATGTATATATATTTTTGAAAAGTGCATTCTTATAAGAAAAAACAAAAAAAACAAAAACTTGCATTAACTTACATGTTTTTATTGTTATACATGTATTTTTGATAATATATATATATATATAATTGAAAATAAAAAAAAACTTGAACTAAAACAGAAACTATCACTTTTGATTTCGAATGTCTATCATTTTATAGTATCTTTTTGTGAAAGAAAAATCCAAAATATTATTTTTTAATATTTTTTGTAATAAATTAAAAAATAGAATAGATATTTTAAATTCTATCTCAAGTTGGAATTATTATTATTTTAAATTAAATATATAAATATCAGCATATCTGATATTAAGTTAAATTAAATCATATAGTATCTAAATAATTATTTTACATTAATTTGAGCTGAATTTTTTATAATGATGTCTGTTGGATCTCTATGAATTTATAATTTTTGTATAGTAACAATGTATTTTGATCTATCATATTTACAATTTTTTCCGAAAGAAATATTAATTTAATTCAATAGTAAATGCAGTTCAACTATTTTGAAATATTAATATCAAAATTATTATATTTTTTTGATAACTCATACTTGGAGATCATATATATATACATATGCATACATACAATCTTTACATTGTTTTAAAAAACTCAAATTAAGATACCAACACATAAGAGTAAATAGACATATATTTATGAAAATCAATACCTAAAATCAAAATAAAAATTTATAAGTTTTTCAGGCCATTGTTTACTCTTTTCTTGAGAAAGGACCTTTATTATTTATTTTTATTTTTTTTGTCAAAAGGATATGTAATGTATAAGGCATCAACTGCATAAAAAATCTTCCATCAGTTGACAAGCTTGTTTTCAAAGCAACTATACCCAAGTCAACAATGTGGCCAAATTGAAGCATATCAAATCCAAACTAAGAAGCAATGTAAAACTTAAAAGCACATTTAATAGTGGACTTAGAAGATCCTATAATAAGGAAAGTCACGTCAGTGGAGAAAAATTCCCAAGTAAAAATTGTCTATAGGGGAAAGGGAAAGGTCATTAAACCGAACACTCTCTCAATTCATTTTAATTTTTTTTTTAAATCTAATAACAGCGAGTGCAAAAGCGAGAGAGCGTGAGCTAGCACGGGTATGGGGCGGAGAGCGTGGCGAAGGGGCCGAACGGGTGCGCCAGAGAAAGGGCGCCCTTGGAGGCGTTGAGGGGGATGACCCCTTCGCCCCCCCGGGCGTCGGGCGGGGGGCCGATGTCTTGCGGCCATGGCGGCAAATCGCGGCATGGCGGCAGCTTGCGCCAGCTGAGGATGTCGTAGGGGCGGGCCCCGCTCATTCGTTCCTGGATGTACAGTCCCCGCTTCGCTAGCATGTACCTGCGCAATTGCACGCTCGGTATCAAGCCCCGTTCTACGCACGGTATCAGTCCCCATTGCCCTTGCTCGCACTCTCACCGTGTGTGTGTGTGCATGTGTAGCTGCGTGTTGTGTGATTCTTCTATAGCTATGAGTTGAAGGATGCTTACTGGGCTTTCATCTTCTCGGCGTTCACTCGCTTTTCTTCGTACTCATCGGTGGGCGCGTGCGTGAAGATGTCGTACTTCACCCCGGATTGATTGTTGCGGAAGCCCGGGTACAGCTTCACGTTTTTGTCGTAGTCGAGGAACGCCTGCCATCGGTCGTCCCTGTCCCTTTGGAGCTCGCCCTTGCGGAACTCCTCCTCGTTCCCCATGAATTCTAGAAGCCTCTGCCACTCAGGCGTGCAGCGTCAGACGTCGACAACATGCCGTACATGGGATCTTGGAGAAAATCGGGTAGCATCGGGAGGGGGGTTGTGTTAGGTGGGCTCTGGAAACTCACTTTGTATCTGTCTTTTTCTACTTGCATTTCTCGTTTGAGAACGTTTGAAACGTCCGTCCTCCAAAACTCCTTCCGCTTGGGATCTAGGTACGAGGTGCACGCCTTGTGCTCCGGCTCAATCAGCTCCTTGTACGCCGGGTGACGGACGAAACTGAAATTTCGTCTTTGTAGCCTCTTTTTCGCGAGTTTGTCCTGTGATTGAATCAGAGAAAGCCGAGCTCTCATCAGTAGCGAATGTTGCAAGTGCTCAAGTGTAGGTTTATTTAGTTGATAATGTCTCCAGTTGTTGAGGACTAACATGCTTTCCTTCGAAGTGATGTTTTTGAGCCCATGTCGGGGGTATGTTGTCCAGGTAGCCGTATTTGGTAACAGGACCCCACGCGTTGTAAGGATACGTGAGGCCGGTTGTCACGCTGGTTTGAGCCCCGATCATGTCATCCTTCGAGGCTGGGAAAACTGGGGTGATGACGTCTGGCGGAACAAACGAGGGCGTCTTCGGAGAGCGGACAGGGGATTTCGGAGACTTCGGAGTTCGGGGCCTAGCTCCAGCAGGTGAATTCGGTGATTTTGGAGTAGCATCTGGAACAAGGCTGGGGCCGCCGCCGCCGCGAAGTCTATCAGGTGATTTGGCTTTTCCAGCTGCAGAAAATGCAGGGCCGCGAAATTGATGAGGTGATTTGGGAGTGTCAGCTTGAGAAGGTGCCCTTGAAGGACCATCACGGCGGGGTCGTTCAGTTGGTTTCGGCGAGCGGTTCTGCAGCTTTGGAGGGCCGCCGCCGGTGTGTCGTCGATCCTGTGACAACGAATCCCCTCCTCCCGGTGGCGAATGTGGACGAGATTGTTCTGCAGGAGGTTTTGATATTGGATTTTGCGATTTCACTTGGATTTTCGGAAGTGGTGGAAGTGGGGTGCCTCGATTGGAGACTCTAAATGAAGACCCCTCACTGTGCTTTGCAAGGCCCTCCATCAACCTGTAACCTCACTAATAGGATCTAATACGGTCTTCCCAAGGGAAGCTGAACGGGATGTAATCGGCGCCATCTCTGTAGATGCATGCTGATTTCGAACGAAATGAGATCATAGTGGATGAAGGTACCAGCATCTGAAGGGCTTTAGAATCCGACTCTAGGGTAGCATTGTCGTCCTTCAAGCATTCTGTGAAAATTTCTGTAAAATGCAATGGAAACATCGCCGACACTCACACTTGTTCCTAGGTTATCTGATCATTCAACGAATAATCAAATAACCTAAGATCAGGCCAACCGCATTGCTGAACCACAGTCAGCAAATCGCATGATAGTTATCGTTAGGAAGCTCATGACACGCAAAAGTTAGCCCAGAAAACCTAATCGGAAGGGTCCAACTTTTCAATGATAAAGCCATTACGAGGGTCGAAAGGCAATGACCATTGCAGCAGGCCTTTCCTGAGGCTGACATGATTTCTAGGGTCGGAGGAGATAGTGAGAGAAGTCGACCGCAACCGCTGTTTTCAGCAGTTACAACCTCCTCAATGTCAGCTGAATGTTCAGCGGAACATCTCTAAAGACCATAGCCATGCAGGACTCCCTCACAATCCATGATGCGCACTAAGTAAACCTCGGGAACAGTTCTGCGGAGATTCATTTGACTACTTCGTCGGTCATCGGTCATGTGTGAATGCGGTATGCGTCAGAGGACGTAGAATTAGGTTTTCTGTATCACTGGTAGATGCCAATTCCACTTGACGACCCACATTCCAGAAGAATTGCGGTCGGGCACGCTCTTGAAATCGCTGTTAGAAATCTACTTGGATGCCAGTGTTGTCAGTGCATGTTATAGATGTGTGTGGACGGCATTTGCGTGCTGATTCCTCAGACTAGTAAGTCCATCGGATACCCAACAGACGAAGAGACAACAGACTATGGGGCTAATCGAGACCTCTTTATAACACCTTCACCGCATCAACTTCACACTTAAAATTATAGCAATCTACCGAATTACACACTTTCGAAGACTATCATCAGCCAATGGCACAGCCTTCGAGTGAGGATTGGTACGTAGCGGTTACACTTCCAATCTTGCTAAAGAAGATTAAAGAATTCAACGAAAAAGTCTCATTCATCCAGTGGGTCTCAGGGAGCGGTGGAACAACGGATTCCGAACGGAACAGTCGTAAGCAAACTTGCGCTGGAATGGTGCAGCTGCAATGGTGTCACACTGGAGACCACTAGTGGCGTGGTGGTGCTGATGCGCCGCAGTTTCCTGTGGATGCGACGAAATGTGGGCTACTTTGCCTGGTGCGTTGGTGGGGGTGAATATTGATGATGAAGGTTGACAGGATGTGCTGGGTGTCGGCAGGGGTTCGAACGCGACGCTCGTACTCAGCGTGATGTGGAGGAAGGGGGTTGTGCGTGGCGTGTGCACAACGGGCCATTCTATCTGTGCAAGAGGTGGCAACCCCCTGAATTTTGGGACCCACCTGAAAACATGGCGTAATGCGTCTTGTTCTGCCTCGAGGAAGGGAAAGTCACCAGCGCCGTGTCGGATCGGGAGGAATACAAGGATTTAGCAGGGAGCACTGTTTAGGTGAATAGGTTGTAGATTGTTTCCGCCGCTCAGAGTTACACATTTTCGGACGACCGTGTTTGGCAGGGACAGGGTCAATAGAGGACAGGCCGTGTTTTTCGGAGTTTATGAGTTGTTCATTTCAGAGTTTTTAGTTTGGAAGGCAGCGTGTGCCGTGAGGGCGGGTTGGATTTTTTCTTGCACAGAACTTAGTTGCTGAGACATTGAGTTCAGTTCTTTGAGTCGACATGGGGCTTGAATCGTGGATGTTGGTTGAGGACCAAGGAGCGAAGCTGAGTCCGGATTCCGACATTAAATTGAACCAGGAGCAAGCTCTCCTCACGCCGTATCAGCTAGGACCCTTTGCGCTCTCCCACAGGTATTCCCAATGAAGCTTCTTCGGCATGGTGCTGTAGAAACTAGTGCCGCTGTCTCTTTGGACTTCTCAATTATTTTGGAGATACTTGAGAAGTCCAGTTGCTTACGCTTTTTCTCGTTTTCTTTCATTTCCTGTCGTTTCCAAATGGCGTCCCAAGTGTGTGAGCCTTCTTTCTTTCTTACTTCAGAATATCACTATAGTTTCCTTCGCTTTAATGTAAGCGCGGCCGATTCTGTAGTGCTGGACACTGATGTCGTACATCTAGTTTGGGCAAGTGTACAGTTGCATTAAATACAGAGTATAGTTCCTATTTTTTTTTTTTTTTTTTTTTTTTTTTCTTTCTATTGTGTTGATAGAGTATGAAAAGTTGCGTTCAGCAGCACAGAACATGTCTGCCACAGACAAGCGAGAGAAATGTGAATGCAAGTAGTATTCATGCACTAGCTTAAGTTCTGAAGCCAAACATTTTAGAACACGCTGGAGAATTATGATCCGTAGGTTCTACGATTATGTGAAATTTCCTTTCTTGTCCATCTATTGACAACTTTGTGTTTGTATCTTTAAATAATTTTATCAATGTCTTACTTATGCCCCTGTATTGAGGAATTGCAGGATAGTTCATGCTCCAATGACAAGGTGTAGGTGTGATGGTGGCGTTCCTCATCCTGCAACCCTTCTGTACTATGCTCAACGTGCCTCTTCCGGCGGACTTCTTATTGGTGAAGCCACGCAGGTCATGGCTTCAGAATCAGAGTAGGCCTTTCATCTCTTAACCTCACCATGGTTCTGATTGTCGTCGAAATTTTAAGTGAAGGCTATCTCTCAACAACCTTGGTATTTATGCCACATAAAATTAGATAACATTTCACACATGCACATTTGTCCTTCTCCGTCTGGTTTCGACAACTGACTTGTTTTCTTGTATCATTTCAAGTTATCATTCCGATTACTCATTGACACTGAAGGTTCAAGATCCAAGTTATTAAAGGAAAATTTCCTTGCTCGTAGGTATCCAGATGTTCCTGGAATTTATACGCAAGAGCAAGTTGATGCCTGGAGACCTGTTGTTAAAGCTGTCCATGATAAGAACGCCATCTTCTTTTCGCAACTTTGGCACTCAGGACGAAGCAAGCTCTCTGGCACGTGATTTTGAACCAGTCGTATTGTCAGTTTTATAGGGGCTCGCTCTGACATTCTGTAGATGCAATGTAGATTTCTTATACAACTCTTCGTTGTGTGAGTATTGTTGAAAAAGTTAGCCTTGAGTAGTATGTAGAAGCACTAAATACTTTTCACCAAGCTTTTTGGATTTGATAGTTAGACTGGTTTATTTAGTTCCTGACTTTTGAGTTCCCTGTTACAGGCTGTGAACAGCGGATTTTGGTGCAGAAATTCCGTTGTGCTGCACGCAATTCAATCATGGCAGGTAAATGAATTCCTGTTCCGCAACTTTTGATCTTGTCTTCTATATTCTGTGTGGGCGTATTGTATAAGAGTTTTAATAATCCTTGGTGTATATAAACAAGGGCAAGCAGTGTCTTGGTTCATACACTTGCTCACGTATGGCTCTTGGTGGGGCAGGTTTTGATGGGGTAGAAATTCATGGTGCTCATGGTTATTTGGTGGGTCATGAGCTAGTCAGAGAACATGGAGAGTCAGGACTTGAGAGTAGTGTACAGCAAAATGCATGCAGGTTTGTACACACATTCACATCCATTGTAAAAGACCAAGTTTCTAAACATATCATTCATTCCTCTTGCCAGTACATGTTTGAAAATTGCGTAGACCACATTTTACTGGTCTATGATAAGTTGTTTAACATTCAAACTAAATATTGGTGGTTCTGGCAGGGACGCATTGGAGATTGTTGGGGCCGTTGTTGAAGAGATTGGAGCTTCTCGTGTTGGTTTCAGGTTTTCTCCTTATACTGAGTATGAAGAAGCTAAAACTTCTGATCAAATAGAGCTCGGAGTTTTTCTGGCGAAAGCGTTGAACAAGTACAACATCCTTTACATCCATGTTCTGGAAAGTAGAAGCACAACTGTAGCTCATGATAAGAATGCGACCATGGAACCTTTTCGTAACAATTTTAAGGGAAGTCTTGTCACTGCCGGAGGGTATACAAGAGAAGAAGGCAATGCAGCAATCGCATGTGGGAGAGCAGACCTGATTGCATATGGCAGACTATTCTTATCGAATCCTGATTTGCCCAAGCGTTTTGAATTGAAGGCGCCTCTCAATAGTTATGACCGTGGCACTTTTTACAATAACAGCAAGGTAAAAGGATACACAGACTATCCTACTCTTGAGGAGTTAAACTTGAAGATTTGAAGAGACTTTAAATACATTGTTCTTCTCCGAACCAGCTTCACCTTACATCTGCTAGAGGGCGCAGCAATTAGTGATTGCACTCTGTTAAGCAGATATCATCTGCACTTCTGTGTAGAGTCCTTGGAAATGTCAGAGCTATGCTTTGGCAGAACAATGGGGCAGAACTGACGTGGAAATCACAACTAGTTTGGCTTAAGACATTTTTCCTTCGGTACACATTCCTTCATTGACTTCGCATTAGTAATACCTGCAAGGTAAAAATATTGCTGAATTGAATGTACAGTGTGCATGCTTACATGCCCATTTCCTCCCAATATCATTGTTGATTTTGAATCTATACAAGCAATTGAACAAGATATAAGTATGTTACTGCGATTCAGTTACTGCGATGTAGTTACATTTAAATGTCTTCAATCCCTCGAATATTAAACACGTTTTCTCTTCAAATTAAGCATAAATACATGTAGGTATATGTAGGGAATTGTTAAATGAACCCACTTTTGTTGAATTGTTGAGTCAAATTGGGCACACATTTCTTTGATCCGTTCCATTAAATGCCCCCCACTCGGAGCACATAGATTCGTAAGCACGTGATGGGTCCATTTAGTAAAAGGGTGGTTCAAATTAACAATTTTTTATACATGTATATTGTATCAATCAAGATTACATCAAATCAAGCTCCATTCATGTAAAAAAAGTATTATTATCATTTTTTATATTGAATTTTATTGGTATCCTAGATTTGTTATTTAATTCGATTTTTCTTAATGCTATAACTATTTATTTATTCATTTATTTATTTATTTTTTAATGCTGTATCTATTAATGCTATAACTATTGCTATAACTGTTGTTACACATTTTTCACATAATCACGCCGTTTTTTTCACGTGATCTGAGCTTCATCTTTGTTTTTATCATTTTCCAAAAAAAATGATCAACAATGATCAAAATAAAAAAATCGACTGTTCTTTGTCTTGTATGGCTATGAAGATGCCACATTTTATGTCATTTCATTTTTGTTTTCGTTTTATCAACTTATATCTTAATAGTGGATTCTATGGCCTACTTCCTTGTATCACCATAAAATCCAACAACCATTTGTTATTACACACAACCATCAGCTCCGTGCACACGTATCAATCATGGATGACATCAACTCTGTCCAAGTGTTCTTATCCATCAATAACAAGGTATCATTTTGACAATACTTAAATCTTAACAGTGTTTATTTATTTATTTATTCTTTTACTTTTTACTTTTTCTACTTTTATCAATTCAAACAACCGGTTCAATACTATTCATCGTGGTGCATAGAATGCCTCCACTAATAAAACCACCTAAAACAACTTATGAGATTTCAAAACCTGCTCCAGCAAAAGGCATAAATTGCTACATTTGCACATGTTTCTTCTAGGTCATGCAGTGATTGTTTACACAGGTTCAAAACGTTCTTGCAAAAGCAACGACTAATGTAATGATTTCACCGTTGAATCGATGCTATGAAACTGTTGCATCCATTTAACTCCGTCTTCTGTATCACATCGAAGACGTGGTTATGATCTGTGGGTGTGCAGCGTCTGGAGCAACAGTGACGAAAGTTAAAAACCTTTGAGAAGTTGCGACTTGAAAGTTAGGGGAATCATCACCAAATCCAAGGAGTCTGATCAGATGGAGGCTTGTTCCGGCAATGTCAACATACTTGTTTGCTTGCACCACCGTGTTGTTATTAGTTGTTGCAAAAGCTTCTGGTCATCGATCTCTGCACCAATGGACCCTGTGATAGCGGTGGTAGTTTTTGAACCTATTGATGTGTGACGTAGATATTGCAATCTGAAGATTGCTTATGATTAAATCATGGATTAGAGAGAGAAAACATGAAGAGAAAGAGTTTCTTATATGTACTTTAGAATCTAAGTATAACTAACGTAATCTGACCAACCAATTGTTGAGGCTCTGTTGGTGAATGGATAGAGGTGGATGTATTGTGTCAGTAGGATAAGAATATCAACACTTCTCCTTGAGGACTACTTGGGGTAAAAACCCTAAGAAATAGTCCTATGATTTCATTATTTTGTTTTTACTTGTTTACTTGAAAAATGCTACTTCTGAGTGATAATCATAAAAGTTTCTGTGGTGAGTTTGCAATTTGTGATGTTATTGTGCGTTTTGTAGTTTGCACCCTTTATATGCATGTTGCTTGATGCTTTTTGTTTATTTATGTTGCTTGTTGTTTGTTGCTTGCTTGATGCTTGTCACTTATGTCTTTGACTATAGAATAATCAGGTTCATAACTTTTGTAGATTGATGCAAAATGTCTTTGTTTATAGTTAGCAATCTTAGTTCTAAAGAAGTTGTACATAGCTCTCATTAACAATCTCAAAATTATATTTGTTTCATATCAGATGGAGGTGCGTAAACCATTTTGGCAATGTAAGGATAATCATGAAATCACCTATTTAGTTCATCATTGTTTCTTTGTTTTATTAACAATTTTTTAATATGTATTCTTGTTTATTATTGATTATCAAAAAATAAAGCTTATTTGGTAGCAATAGTTAATAGAAAAAAGATGTTGTGTAATGTAGACATGCGCAAAAGTTATAAGTCCATAATTTTTTGTCATGAATAATCTATAGCTTTGGATATTAGGTTTAGAAAGTATCATGTAGCTAGGAAGGACTTGGTATATAGAATATACACCAATTGGAGTAAGTGTGAGCACATTCTAAAAGGATATCATAAGGCTAAGTTTAAAAGTTTTAAGATCTATGAAGAGACTATGGAGTATAGAGATTGTGTTGAGAGTTTGATTAGTGTCAAAGATGCTAGTTAATCCTAGTATTGTGCATTTTTGTTCAAATTTTATTTGAGGCAATGCTTTCGTAAATAAGTTTGCAAGCTATGAGCCTATGGATTTGTGATTCAAGCTAATTTTTCCTAAATTCACTATTTTTTCTTATAAAATGATGATATATCTCTATTTATTTTATTCTTGCATGGAACATAAGGTTTTTAACTAATTTGATTCTTGATTGGTTATTACAATATAAAAAAAATTATTGGGCATCTCTAATATAAGATTTTTATTCCTATTGCTAAGAAAGAACAAAGATGACATATACTGAATAGTTTATAGTTTAATGAGTAGTCTTCTCAACAAGATTGCTTCTAAGATTTCTATAGAGAGGCTCATATGTACAGATTTTTTTGACAATTTTGCTACAGTTTGTTAACTTATGCTTTGCCATGTGATTGCTTCTCCTATGATTATAAAATAATAACATCTTATAGATCTATGGATTTTTGGATAAGATGCATAATCAATTTATGTATAGCCTTATATATATAATTTATTATTAGTATAATCTAAAGTCTGTAGTATCCTTAAGATATCAAAGTATATATTTAATAGCTTTTAAATGTAGAATCTATGATTTTTCTATATATCTAAGATTGAACTAATAACAAATGTTAAGTTAGGTTTTATGGTTGTAAAGAAGATTAATTTTTCAACTATATAATAATATTCATAGAAGTCTATTGATAAAGCTCTCATATTAGTAAAAAACAATAAGCTTGAGAATAGGGATACATGTTTTTTTTTCAAGAATTGGTCATTCTAAATTCTCTTTTGCATATTGTGATTGTGATAGGAATAAATTAATAAAAAGAACTTTGAATTCTATCCCTATGTATTTATTGATGAAGTCTAAATCACTCATATCAAATTTGGATTTTAGTTATTGTATTAATTTTAAAAAATTGTTATTGTTCCTACTTATTATGAAAAAATATCTATATAGGCTACAAGTATGGTTTTATTATTCATTTTATAAATATAGTATAGATTATGATCACTTAGACTTTTCATCATACTTGATGTTTTCAAATAAGTATCTAATGTCTTGTACCACATCATTGAACTTTGGCATAAGTCATATAAGGATTTTTTGAATTTTCATACTATATGTTCATTTCTTTTTTCAATGAATCTTAAGAGCTGTTCTATATATACTTTGTTTGATAGGTCGTCTTGTGAAAAGGTTGTTTTAATATTTAAGTGATGTATAGAATATTGTATAATGGCAACTCTTGCTGCCAATGATCTAATAGTAGACCATTTTATTATAAGAGCAAAAACCTCATCAAAGTCAAAACTATGCTCATATTTAAAGCCATGCACTACAAGGCGGCTTTTTTTCATGAAAGTTGATTGTGAAGACTAAGATTTTTTGAAAAAAATTATTGAACATTGATATTGTATTTATCAAGTGGTAGTGGCATAAATACCTAACTATTATCTTTTACAATATATAATAGTTCTTCTTACATATTAATATTTTAGTCTTTATTTTTTAGTGCCTTTATTAGAGATACTTTGTCATTGTAGAAATCTAATAAAGCTTGAATAATATAGATGTTTAAGTCTTTGGATGTCATAGAAAAGATATAATCATATAATTTTATATTTTTTTTTCTAATTTGATTTGAATATTAAGAAAAGAGTTCATAAGTTGACGGTCTTTTGAAGCTATTTATAATGTTAGAGAATTTAAAAAGTCATTGATGCAATGGATCAAATTGGATGTTGGAATTATTGTAGTATCTTCGTGAAGTGGTGTAGTAGAATTCAAATCTAAGAAGGTGTAAAGTAAGTCATCTTTTGAAGAGATTGAATGTATAGTAGGTAGGATCTCTACTACTACTTTATTAAAGTAGACATCTCTTGATATAAAAAATTTATGTGTTTTAAAATCGAAGCACATATATACTTTAGATTTGTCATTATATCCTATAAGTATGGATCTTTGAGCTTTGGTTTCTAATTTAATTCTATTTTATAGATGATAATAAGCTAAATAGCTAAATACACATATATGAGATAGATTAGATTTTGACTTGAAAAAAGATATAGGAAAGTAATCCTATATAGATCTTAATATGAGGCATGATTGGAAATTTAATTAAATATGTGAGCTACTTCCTTCTATAAGTAAGATATATTCCAAATAATAAACCATGCATTGTCTCACAAAGATACATGTTTTTTTTTTTTGTGATGTTGTTTTGATGAGGAGTGCATGCTGCCATGAATTGGCTTTATATGTCATTTTTAAAGTAAGAAGATGTAAATTTACTTGATAAGTATTCTCTACTTTAATCAATGCATAGGCAAAATAATGTTTGATTTGTCTCTTTTCAACCATATTTTTGAAGTTTTTGAATGTTTCAAATGCATTATTTTTATATAGTTTAAAATAGAGTCATAATTGTCTTAAGAAGTTGTCAATAAAAGTTAAAAAGTATTAAGAGCTTGTGATAGATATGATAGATATAGGTCCATAAAAATCA